TGGCCACATGTATGGAGGTCTGTGTGTGGGGGCACATGTATGGAGGTCTGTGTGGTGGACACATGTATGGAGGTCTGTGTGTGGGGGCACATGTATGGAGGTCTGTGTGTGTGGGCACATGTATGGAGGTCTGTGTGTGGGGGCACATGTATGGAGGTCTGTGTGGTGGTGGCCACATGTATGGAGGTCTGTGTGTGGGGGCACATGTATGGAGGTCTGTGTGGGAGGGCACATGTACGGAGGTCTGTGTGGTGGCCACATGTATGGAGGTCTGTGTGGGAGGGCACATGTATGGAGGTCTGTGTGGTGGAGGCACATGTATGGAGGTCTGTGTGGTGGTGGACACATGTATGGAGGTCTGTGTGGTGGTGGCCACATGTATGGAGGTCTGTGGGTGGGCACATGTATGGAGGTCTGTGTGTGGGGGCACATGTATGGAGGTCTGTGTGGTGGTGGACACATGTATGGAGGTCTGTATGGTGGGGGCACATGTATGGAGGTCTGTATGGTGGGGGCACATGTATGGAGGTCTGTGTGGTGGTGGCCACATGTATGGAGGTCTGTGTGGTGGGCACATGTATGGAGGTCTGTGTGTGGGGGCACATGTATGGAGGTCTGTGGGTGCGGGCACATGTATGGAGGTCTGTGTGGTGGTGAGCACATGCATGGAGGTCTGTGTGGTGGTGAGCACATGCATGGAGGTCTGTGTGGTGGTGAGCACATGCATGGAGGTCTGTGTGGTGGTGAGCACATGTATGGAGGTCTGTGTGGTGGTGAGCACATGTATGGAGGTCTGTGTGGTGGTGAGCACATGTATGGAGGTCTGTGTGGTGGTGGACACATGTATGGAGGTCTGTGTGGTGGTGAGCACATGTATGGAGGTCTGTGTGGTGGTGGACACATGTATGGAGGTCTGTGTGGTGGTGGACACAAGTATGGAGGTCTGTGTGGTGGTGGACACATGTATGGAGGTCTGTGGTGGTGAGCACATGCATGCAGGTCTGTGTGGTGGTGGGCACATGTATGGAGGTCTGTGTGGTGGTGGGCACATGTATGGAGGTCTGTGTGGTGGGCACATGTATGGAGGTCTGTGTGGTGGTGAGCACATGTATGGAGGTCTGTGTGGTGGGCACATGTATGGAGGTCTGTGTGGGGGCACATGTATGGAGGTCTGTGTGGTGGTGAGCACATGTATGGAGGTCTGTGTGGTGGTGGCCACATGTATGGAGGTCTGTGTGGTGGTGGGCACATGTATGGAGGTCTGTGTGGTGGTGGCCACATGTATGGAGGTCTGTGTGTGGGGGCACATGTATGGAGGTCTGTGTGGTGGTGGCCACATGTATGGAGGTCTGTGGGTGGGCACATGTATGGAGGTCTGTGTGTGGGGGCACATGTATGGAGGTCTGTGTGGTGGTGGCCACATGTATGGAGGTCTGTGTGGTGGCCACATGTATGGAGGTCTGTGTGGTGGTGGCCACATGTATGCAGGTCTGTGTGGTGGTGGGCACATGTATGGAGGTCTGTGGGTGCGGGCACATGTATGGAGGTCTGTGTGGTGGTGAGCACATGCATGCAGGTCTGTGTGGTGGTGGGCACATGTATGGAGGTCTGTATGGTGGGGGCACATGTATGGAGGTCTGTGGGTGGACACATGTATGGAGGTCTGTATGGTGGGGGCACATGTATGGAGGTCTGTGTGGTGGTGGGCACAAGTATGGAGGTCTGTGGGTGGGGCACATGTATGGGGGTGAGAGGGTAACGTGCAGGGGTCAGTTCTGTCCTTTAACCATGTGGCATTTAGGGATCTAATTCAGCTGTTAGTCTTGGTGGCAGGTGTCTACCTGCTCTGCCATTTCCCTGGCCCAAATGTTTGCTTCTTAACTGTACCATTGATATTTGCCTAGGGATCTCAGGGGAGGGAGCTGGAAACTAAGAAAATGGACCACTGGTGTTGTATTACTGAGCTCCCCTCCTTTCCCACCATGGTCGAGCTCTGTCTGGAGTGAAACACTTCCTTTTTGCCTGCCACTCTGAGCCCCTAGTGTTTCTTATACCTCTGTCCCCAGGCTGGACTAAAGTGTGAGAAGTGATAGCCAGATAGGATGGCCTTGTGTGTGTGTGTGTGTGTGTGTGTGTGTGTGTGTGTCTGTCTGTCTGTCTGTCTGTCTGTCTGTCTGTCTGTCAGTCATTTGTAAATGTAAGTTACCAGCTTGCTCTTTTCTTTATCAGTCCTATTTAAGTCCATTAAAAACAAAACAACAACAACAACAACAAAACAAAAACAGGAAGACGAGAAAGAGAGAAAGTGACATTCCTCCAGGCAGGGCAAACAGGTCTCTCAGAGATGAAGTGTGGTCAGCCAAGGAGTCCAGGGATGGAAAAAAGGAACCTTGCAGCCAGAAGTGGCTGTGCCTTCCCGGTTCCTTCCAGGCTGAGCACAGCTGCTGGGGCCCGGACACACCGGACCCTGCCGGCTTGGGGGCACAGCCGCATTTGTGAAGAAGGGACACAGAGGATGAAGTGTCTGGCTTCTGGACCCCTCTGCGGAACCTCTGGTTTTGTTTTCTGGCAGAAGCACCACACCTTCTTCTGGAGGAGGAGAGGTGGTCCACAAGGGTGGCTGCCGCTGTCCTCCTCCACTCTCCTCCCAAGAGGAGGCACATCTCGTCTCCCTCTCACCCCCATAGGTAGAGCATGTTGCGCTTCTAAGCTTTAGAGTACCAAAGCTCATAGACGCTGTGTGAGAAAAACCGTTGGTGGTACTTTCTCAAGCACAGCTGAAGTCAATCTTCATTTCTGGGTTGAACTAGGACAACCTGAGGGGACACACATGATATAACAGTGCTCTGTCACAACTGTCCCTGTGGGCTCCCTAGGGTGTCCAGATGAAATCAGCCTGGCCTGGGACAGACATGAGGACTCACCTCACAAAACTCACTGCTTGCTGTTGAAAGATGGAGAGTTCCTTCCTCTGCAACACCTTCCCTTCGATAATCCGGAGGCAAAGTATCTATGTAGTCCTAGCACCCCAAGCCGGGGGACTGTCTTCCCCCGCTAGGTGTCTAGTTTTGTTGGTTTACTTTTGTGTTTTGGAAACGGTATCACTCTGTAACCCAGGCTGGCCTTGAACTCATGGTGATTCTCCTGCTTCAGCGTCTTGAGCATGGTTTTATCCAGTGAGTGTTGAGTTTTCTATGTCTGTTTCTCTGCTTCATATTGGCTGCCAGAATGCTTAGAACCACACTGCACGCAGTTTCTGTTTTACCCTAACCTTGGTTTAAGCTTAGGTTTTGTATTTTTCTTGGCCTCACTTCAACACACATACCTTTTTAATTTAGTTTTGAAACAGGGTTTCATAAAGCGGACTGGCTTAGACATGCTTTGTGTACCACAAGATGGCTTTGAATTCCTAACCCCTTTACCTCACCCTCCTGAGAGATGTCTTGTTTTTGACTAATTTCATCTGACAAAAGTTGCCTGTGTCTATAGGAGCTGCTCTCATCCTCAGATACATAAACTCGGGGGCAGAGAAAGAAGTATCCTCAAACTGCTTGTACTTTGCTTGGCCTGTGATCAAGCTTCCCACAGGGACTTTTCTGGACAGAGACCATGTGTTCATTAGAGAGATTAGGTCCCACTTCACTGTGAGTTGCTACTTGGGTCCCTTTAAGAGTTTTCTGTGTGTCCGTCTGTAAGACCTCGCTTCTCTCCTTCCCTCCCTCTGTACCATGTCTCAGGCGCATTAACCTTCCTTTCTTCCTTTTCCTTTCTTGGTCTTTTTTTTTCCCCCCTTGAGACAGGCTTTCTCGGTGGAACAGCCTTGGCTGTCCTATAACTCTCTCTGTAGACCTGGCTGGCCTTGAACTCAGAGATCTGCCTATCACTGCCTCCCAAGTGTGGGATTAAAGGCATGGACCAAAGTTTAAAACTGCTAGATATGCCAATACTTCACTTCTCCAGTCTTGTTTTCCCTTAGGGTCTTTGTGCTGTGCACCTCTGTTTGGGACCCCCTCCCCAGCCAGCCTCTTCCTTACTCATGACAGCCACAGCTGCACTTCTAAAAAAAAACCGAGGGGTGGGCATGAAAAATAATGAGATTTTTGTAGGTGGCACCCTGGAACTGATAACTTAAAAACAACAGCATCAACACCTCAGACATTCTAATTTTCAGTCAGAGTTGTGTGACAGTTTCAAGCTTTGCCTTCCATGGGAGCCGCTCACACCACCTCTAGGATGCATCTATTGTCTTGCTATTGGGCTTGATTTCTCTGATTCTGTTTTGATAATTGCTTTAATTTGGAACTGTGGATTCTATTAGGATATTTTTGTCTTCCAAACCTTCCTAGGGTTTTAGTGTTGTAGGATAGAGCCTGTCTGCCTGGGGTTTTGTGTATTTCCCTGCACACGATAAATATCAGGTTGTAACTGTGTTCCAAGTCCAGGTGTGCCCCTGGCTGTACCCTGGCGCTGAACACTCTCTTATACTGTTGATATGACTGTCATCGATTTTGTCTTTATGGCATTTTAAGAAAGATACAGTCTCGGGCAGTAGCATTTGCAATGATTCAGGACTCAGGGTGTAGGGGCACGGATGGAAGGGGTTGCTAATACTCCAGGAGGGTCGAATGGCTGGCTTAGGTGTTTTGGCTGTAGTCTCCATTGCTGCAGATGGTCTCTACACCTGGGTAGCACAGAGGGACGGGACAAGTACAGTTGTGTTTTTAGGCAAATAATGAAACTCAGAGGAGTCTGAAAACAGCTCAGAGTCCAGTACCTCCCAGCACAGGTGCCATTGTGTGGCGGTTGCGTGAGCGTTTACTGTGGCTCAGACTGTTCTTTTAAAACCGTTACTAATACTAGCAACACAACCCATTATTAGTAAAGCAGAGTGAAGCAGAGAACCCAACCGCTGTCTCCAGCCGGGCTGGGCAAGAACTCCTTGTGCAGCTGAGGGTGCCCTTGAACAAGGTCTTTTTTTGCTTTTTTTTTTTTTTAAAGGGACTCTCTCTGTGTAGGTCCGGCTGTTGTCTGGAACTCTCTATGTAGGCCAGGCTGGTCTTGAACTCACAAAGATCCATCTGCTTTTGCCTCTTGGCTGCTGGACTTAAAGGTATGCACCATCATGCCTGGCAATACTGAATTTCTGATGCTTCTGAATGCTGGGATCATAGGGGTGTGCTACCACATATGGTTTTGCTCAATACAGGGGATCAAAACCAGGGCCAGGCAAGTATTCTACCCACTGACTCTGTCCTCAACCAGAAGTTAAAGTCTAAGGTGCTTTTACCTAAGCTTAAATTAACCAAGACCAGGACCAGTGAAATTATTTTTCTTCTGTTTCACTTCCTTAAAGAACCATCCTGGTTTTCCCCTCTTCCTTCCTCGCTTGTACGTAGGTGATTTGGGGCTGGAAACTGGAGGGAACCGGGAGAGAGAAATGATCAAGGAAGGATAAAAAAAACACCAAACAAACAAAACAAAATTAATTAAACGCAAATCCAGCCATGCAGCAAAAGCCCACTTCTGCCTCTCAGCTGGGTAAGTTTCAGTCTCACGGTGGGAGGCGCACATGTACCCACACCCCTAAACCCACGCAGACGAAACCCCTCTGTGGAGAAGACAGTGACAGGAAACTCACTTCTGCACAGGAACTTGCTAATCGCTTTTGCCACTTTTGGAGTGTTCCTGCCGCTGCCCGAGTCACCTCGAACGCCGAGGCCCGCTACCTCGGGCTGGACCCTTCCTGTCCAGTGTTGCTCTTCCAGTGTGACGACTCACTGGGAGCCTGGAGAGCCAAGAGGTGGGTCCCAGGGGGAGCTGAGCGCTGGTAGGGCTTCAGCTACGTTGGCTTTCACAGGGCTGTGGGGAGCAACTTCGACTTCCGGAGTCAGTCATCTTGGTGTTGAGACATACTTTTGGCATTCTACGACAGGTAAGACTTTTGTGTCTTCAAAAGTGATCTTCAGGGTCCTGGGAATCTCTGTCGTTTCGTTGAGTTTTTTTTTTTTTTTTCTTGAAGCCGTACTTTGTAATTACCTCGTTTAATCTGTTGTAAAGCATAGACCAAATTTAGAGGTGGGGGTGTGCTCTGCTGAGCACTCCCTCTCCAAAGCTGTCACAAGACACAACTAGGTTTCTCACCATTTTGCTTTGTTTTTATTTTGAAATGAGGTCCCGTGTCATCTAGGCTGGCCGATCTGTAGTCAAGGATGGCCTTGAATTCCTGATCCCCCTGCTTCTACCTCTCAAGTGCAGGGATTGCAGATGTGTGCCACCAAGGCCGGGCATAGTTCTGAAACATTAAAAACACAATTTTTTGATTTCTGAGGAGTTCTCACAGAAAATGCCTGTCCTTGGGGCTGACTGTGTCTGAGCTTGCTCGTGTGGGGACTTTAAGCACCACGCAGAGGCATTGATAAAGGAAATCTCCAACTTCCAGAGACAGCAGTTTCAAAGTTATCTAACTAGGTAAATGAATCAGAATAAAAACCGTACAGATTCGGGTCCAGAATTGCTACCTAGTTATCTTCAATGCTAATGGTCCCTTTCTATACCTTTCTGTTAAATTTAGTTTCTGAGGTGGTTTCATGCTGCGAGCTGCCTGCCAACCGATTGCCTGGGTTGTAGCAACAATAGCAGCAATAACAGCAAAAACTCAGGAAGTCACTGGTTTTAGGTGCTTTGCTAGATTAAAGTCACGACTGACATATTCAAGCAAGAAGTAGTTGATGATCGTTCACTCTTCTAAGATGGTGTGCGCATGAGAAGAGAGCTCTACAGAAACCCATTCTGTGGTGGACTTCACACTCCAGTAGTCACGGTGAAGAAGAAACGGCAGGAGATGAAGCAGGGAGCGGGGTGGCAGAGGCTCTCCGGGCTGTAGGGTTTCCAGAAGGGTGCAGGAGTAGCTGGAGCAGTCAGGAGCAGTCAGGGCTTCGGAGGAAGGGGAGCTTAGAAGATGGACAAGGGGACGGTCGTTTTAGACCTGGAGGGCCGTGCAGACTTTACATAAAGAGGAGACTGGCCGGCCCGGTTAGAGAGACTGTCCCAGGAAGAGAAGAAGGCCGTTTACCCAGTGCGGGAACAGGGCTGGAAAGTTGGCGGGGTCATTGAGGATAGGTTGATCTGGCAGTTTTCTAGCCTCCTTTAGCCGTTTTCAGGGAGACTCGATCAGCTTTGCATCCTTGGGGTGCCTTCTGCTTGCTCCTGTGTTGTGATGCCTCTCGGGCCTCTAGCATTGTTCCTTAGTACATCGTGAATGCAGAGACAGGCCTGTGGGAAACCTCCATGGCTGTTTTCCCCATTTTAAGAAGACTTTGAATCATCTGGCGCCGCAGGTGCCTTTCCTCATGGGAGGTTGAATAGGTGGATAATCAAGTCTCCGTCCCCGAAAAATGCTCCTTCAAACATTCCGTGAGGGTCCCTTGTGCAGGGAGTGAGCCACTCTGGCCACACAGCTGTTGTTTCCATAGACGTTCCTTTGGAGCGACAGTATTATAATGATTTCTGGACCACGGAGACTAGAATCGAAATAACATAGTAAGATGAGCAAGACCTTGGAGCCAAAGGGCCCATGTGGAGCCCTGGCTCTATTATTTCTGCACCGTGGGAACCTCAGATAAGTTTCTGAAATTCTTCAATATTCCTTTTTTTTTTTACTTATAAGACAGCTCTAACAACAGTAGTAATAGCTGAAAATTGTTACCTCAAAAGGTGGTTGTTGAGATAAATATATAAGGTGCTTAACTTAGTGTCTAGCTTACAGTAAACTCTCAAAGGTCAGCCTTGGGACCTGTAAAGACTTGGTTATGGACACGAAAGAAAAGGTGCTGACTGCTGGTCTGAGGGCAACCTGTCTACAAACTTGCCTATTTAAGCTCAGTATTCCTCTTAAGGGAAGGTTGGGGTGGCTGGTAGAAGGCAGGGGGTTAACATTTTTGTGCACCAGGGATGCACACTAGACCCAGGGCTTAGGTATTTTATAGTGCTAACGTGCAAAAAAGAACAGACTAAGAAGTGATGTTTTAGGCCTCCCCACTCCAGCTCTTCCAACTGCTTCCCCTCTGAGCATCTCCAGATGTTTGTGAACATCTGGATGGATGTCTGAAGCCTGTAGGTGGAATTACAGAAGTTCTTGGAATCTGAAGCAGAGAGAAGGTTTTATTTCTTGGCCCAGTTTAACTGTATAATTTTAGTATTTTAGTTGCAACACTAGCAAGATATGACTGAAAATCCACTACTCCTCCACAGTTGGGATACTCTTGACAATGAGTTCTTGAAGTATTGCTTCTGGGTCTGGATGCTTAGGTCTGGTGACAGCCCAGGTTCAAAGCTTTCCCTTTCCTCTCTAAATGACAGGTTCATCTGGATTAGAAAGGCCTCCTTTAACAAGTGCAGTGACAGCTGGCATGCTAATTATGAAGCTGATTCTCAGTTATGTGTCAAGATTACTCAAATAGCAACGATGCTGCTTTCCTTCTGCAGGCCTGAGAATGTGAGGGGAGCTTCTAGGGGCTCTAACTAGAGAAAGAGAGGGGCAGCAGCCAGAAGGGGGCCTGGATGGGAACCGGAAGGCAGCATGGCAAGATTAGGGGATGAGCTGGTTTGTGAGAGAAGGCGGCCGTAAGTGATGGAAGGGGTGACTATGGGGAAGCAGGAAGACGGATGAGGACCAGAAGCACCTGGCCTCACCTGCCGCTTCACCCCGCTGGACCACTGCAGCATTCTCTGGGCAGTCTGCACCAGGAATTGTTCCAGGATACAGTCGATTAGTCTGGTTCTGGCTGGATCTCAAAACCACGCAGGGAGCTTTAATTCTTATGACATGGGACCAGGGGCTTTATAGAGGGTGATCTAAGAGCCATTAAACGAGCTCTCTCCTACCAGTTCCCAGATGCCAAAATGGTAGCTGGAGACAGTGCTGCAGCAAGGGCGATTGTCCTTTCTGTTGTGACATTGGAACACCGAAGAGCGTTTTCATTTGTCCTAAGTGCATTTCTTGAGATAAGTTTCTGGGAGCGAGATGACTGGATCAAGGGTGTGAGCCTTTGTAGCTCAATTCTGTTTTCATAAAGTGCCTTCTTTAAAACCTCTAGAGCAGTGGTTCTCAACCTCCCAAAAGCCCTTTAATGCAGTTCTTCCTGGTGTGGTGATCCCAACAATCCAATTATTTTGTTGCTATATCGTAACTGTAATTTTGCTACTGTTATGAATCCTAATGTAAATATCTCATATGCAGGAGATCTGATATGTGACCCCCCCCAAGGGGCCATGACTCACAAGTTGAGAATCACTGCTCTAAGATGTTGCATGAATGTAGAAGCAGACAGTATTACTCTGCAGGAGCTCAAAGAAAGGCATTTACTGTCAAGGAGAAAGTGCCCAGTCGGCTCCCCTATTTCTTTTCCTGTAGAATGCAATGTTGGGAAGAAATTTCCAGAGCGTTGCTGAATGTTCCACGGCTTCTTCTGTTGTAAGCTGGGGCCTTCTGATCTTGCCAGGTGGTTTCTGGTAAAACTGAAATCAGCAGTGACCTCTTCCCCATTTCCTAGAAAAGAAAACCAAGGCAGAGCCCGGTGAGGTAACAGGCCTCACTCTCACCACTCCTGCGAGCTTTGCATCATCACTCATTCAGTTTATTGTTGGAGTAACTGGGTAGCTACATACATGATCTCATGGAAGATCTCATGGAAGATGATGTCATGAAATAAACACACTCAGCAATAGTATTGCTCTATTTTTAAATGTTTTATTGGTTATTTACATAATCTGCTGGCAAAAACCCTCATTTGTTGAACAAATGAGAATAAGGACCTTTTCAGGGCCTTTAATCTCAGCACTGGGGTGGGTGGGGGTGGGGCAGAGGCTGGAGGATCTCTGTGAGTTCGAGGCCAGCCTGGTCTACGTCTGCCTCATAAAACAGAAAGCAAACCAGTGTGTGTGTGTGTGTGTGTGTGTGTGAGAGAGAGAGAGAGAGAGAGAGAGAGAGAGAGAGAGAGAGAGAGAGAGGAGGAAAATTGATTGCTTTTGGGAAGTACCAACTGATATATTTCCTGTTGTGTTCTAGAACCAGTCTGTGCTAGCTTGCAAGAGCAGACTGTAGTATTTCCAGAAGTTTTGGGAGCTGCTCAAGTCTCTGGCAGATGTTGATGTATTGATGGACGTGCTGTAGAACTAGATGCTACGTGACCCTCTCTTCCTCTTTGCTCAGTGATCTTGGGTTGTTAGCTAGAAATCAGTCACAGTGATTTACACTGCCAAATCAGCAAACACGATATGCTGCTTAGACAAGTACAAAGAAAAGTTTCACTACTATGCTGACTTAATGATGCATGAGAAGGGGGAGCCGTTAGAAATTAAGTCATTAGGGGTGGAGAGATGGCTCAGTGGTTAAGAGCACTGGCTGCTCTTCCAGATGGACCCGGGGTTCAATTCCCAGCACCCACATGGCAGCTCACAACTCAGGTTCTAGGGGATTTGATACCCTCACACAGACATAAATGCAGGAAAAACACCAATAAAATTCACTACTATGCCAGGCCAGTTTAAAAGAAAGAAATGGAAGCATTTTGTGTGTCAGAATGCTAAAATAGAATTTGTTTTTACTTCACTTATAATAACTGTGCATGTACAGTTTTAAAAGCTGGAGATAGTAAGAGAGGCAGGGGATTTGTGAAGTGCATGAGCCTTGCCTCTAACCTGCAAAGCTTGGGATGGGTCCCTTGGGCAGGACATAGTGAAGGGAGTTTGAATCTGGGCCATGTAGAGTTGTGAATGCTGAGGGGTTTCCTTTGAACACCT